TCTTCATTTGATGTTTTAGGGTTTCAGGATTGTTGTATTCTCTGTTCGGCTTAGTTTTTCGGATCTTTGCTGTGGAGGGAAGGCGTGGTGCTTCTGCCTAGAGCGCCATTTTGCCGGAACTCCCCCTTTCCAATTTTTATATTCTGTTATATATAATAATTCATTAAAAAGTACTAAGGTTTTAAATTACAGATAATTAAATAAAGACCTTGCATGGTAATGTCACTTTTGGCTTCTAATATCTTATTTGCTAGTATGAAATTCTAGTCATTTTTTAAAATAAACTTATTGGTAATGTACTTACTAAATTGATGCTTCGAAAATTGGTTGAGCATTAGATTTGTTTTTGATGAGTAATATAGAAGTAATACAGTCAGGTCATAGATTATGATGATGATTTTTCTTGGCCTAAAAGAAATGAAAATTTTCTGAAGTCACCACTTAATCTTCAGTAACCCAAAGTTAGAAGTGTGTTAGACAAATGTTGAACAATAAATATGTCTTAGATGATATGTTTAATGTTGCAAGGTAATTGAGCAACTTTTGAACTTTAGATTTTCTTCTTCTTCTAGTCCCAGTCATGCTTATTAAGCTTTGGTTTCCTGAAATTACAATTTTCAAATGGAATCTTTTCCAATTTGAAAATAATTTTTTTTCAATGCCTCCACTCTAAATTTAGAAATAATTCTGAGATTCAGGATCTTTATGAATTTTTGCTAACCAAATGAATCTTCATATAATTTTAAAGAGATTTATTATGGAAATTAAACTTTGAAATTAGTTTTTCTAAATTATCTGAAAACTCATTCTATAGACAAAAATGTAACTTATTCTTTATATATTTAATGTTTTCTCTAGGTTATAAAAAATTATACGAAGAATTATTTATTAGGTGATTCCAGGTTTTTCTGAAGGACATAAATGTTGATTAGTTATAATTAATTATAATTCAAGTATACATTATGAAAATATTTTCCTATAAGGTGATCACCAAGATAATCCATGATACTTTTAATTATATTTCCAATAAAAGATACACTTAAGTGTGATGTACTCTTTTAGTATTTAAAAACATTTAGCTTTCTGTGAATATCAAATAGTTATTTTGAGGCTAAAAACCATGGTGTCAGAAACTGACTCTCTTCTCCAGATTTTTGTAGACTTTTGGCTCTCACAGAGCAGTAAAGTTTTTTTTTTTCCCAAAAATTATGAGGGTCAACAGATGGTTGCCAACTTCTGGTTTGCATTTGACTAAATATGGATATTACGAAGAAATTACCATCTCTTATCACCATCATTTTGTAAAATAATGGACATTTTCAAAACAAAAAATAAGAAGCTCTTAATTTTATAGTAAAGGACATCCTCTTAAATTGTATAAACTTAGTGTGTATGGAAAATTCACTATTTTGCCTATTTTTCATATTTCTTCACAGACCTGTAGAAGTTTTTTTTATGAGCCAGCCCTGGTGAGAAACTTGTATTTAGTTACAGCTGATGAAGATATGGGCCTGAATAGTGTATTGATCATCAGTTTGACTAAATACTAAACTGAACATCTTAGGAGAGCTATGGAGTACTTTGCAAGACTTTAGAGAAAGAGTAGCTAATTATCTGTTGTAGGTTATTCCCTTCACTAAAGCAAAGGATTTGGAGTAGATAATTCTTTGGTGTCCCTCCCCGACTTTGTTTTTCTGTGTGTCTATAACTTTGATCCTAAAATCAATTTGGGTATCATTCATTACAATAAGTCATAGATAATTTAAATAAGTTCATTGCTGATGAATTTATTTAAAACTAAAAATATTTACACATGACCACGCTGTAATGGAAAAAACCAGCCCATTGCTGTCAAGTCAATTCTGACTCAAAGTGACCCTATAGGACAGAGTAGAACTGCCTCATAGGGTTTCCAAGGAGAGGCTGGTGGATTTGAACTACTGACCTTTTAGTTAGCAGCTTTAGCACTTAACCACTGTGCCACCAGGGCTCCGTAGTGGAAAAGGATAGGTTAAAAAGTACAACTACTGGTTATAGTGATGGTATGATTATAGTTTCTCCTTAGAACTGGGTAGATAATGGACTACTGTTGAGAACTCTTCAGGCTGGCACTTGGGACACACTGAGGCAGAGTGATCGATGTAATCTTGTATGTCATCCATAGCAGTTACTAAAAGACAAGAAGGGCCTGGTTATAAGATGGGTCCACAGTGAAGTATGGATCCCAAGAAAAACAAGAACTTAAAACTTTTCTAGATTATGTTTAGACAGACTTATGATCTCTATAGGGAAATGAGTTACTAGTCATGAAATCAAATATATTCTGTGAAATTAGAGTAATATTAACCTGAAGCCAGCTAATAAAATCTGGTGGTGCAAACAGTTAAGCGCTTGGCTGCTAACCAAAAGGTTAGCGGTTCAAACCTGCCCAGAGACTCTGTGGGAGAAAGACCTGGCGATCTGTTCTTATAAAGATTTCAGCCTAGAAAACCCTATGGATCAGTTCTTTTCTGTCACATGTGGTCTTTATGAGTTGAAAATTGACTCGACGGCACCCAACAACAGTAACAACATAGTATTATTTATTGACATTAACAAAGTTGATATGGTCGAAAATTATATTAGTTGTTATATGTTATGTCCTTAGATAAGTAATTTAGCCTTATTAAGAAAAAAGAAGATTAATAGGTCCCTACGTGGCACAAACGGTTTACAATCAATTGCTAACCTAAAAGGTTGGCAGTTCAAACCCACCCAGCGGTACCATGGAAGATAGGCCTGGCTACCTGCTTCTGTTAAGATTACAACCAGGAAAATTCTCATGGAGCAGTTCTACTCTGTAACACATGGGACCACCATGATTTGGAATCAACTTGATGGCAACTAACAACAAAACACTATCATCGCTAATTATCCAACCATCCAAAAATGAACCTAACAAAACTTTTGTAATATGATTCAAGGTGCCTAAAAAGCCATGGGCTAATATTTTAGAGTAATTTTTAGCTAGCCAGAGATGATGATAATTATTTCATTTTACCTAATGCTCTACTTAAAATTCAGAACTGTAAAGTTGATTAGATAAATTACTTTTTAGAAAAATATTCCTTACAACTGCATGTTTTAGAATCTGCTTGAATATTTTCTCATTTAATCCTCACAGCAACTCTAGTAGATAGGTATTATTACATGAGAGAATTTAGGTAGCCTGCCTACTTGCCACAGCTAGTAATAATGAAGGTTTGGGTTCCTGCTTGAATCCAGAGCTCTTGCTCTTCCTCCTTTAACAAGAGAGAGTCAGTGTATTGAACTAAGGAGTAGTGTACCAAACCCAAAACCCTTTGCCATGGACTCAATTCCAACTCAGCAACCCTTTAGGACAGAGTAGAACCGCCCCGTACAGTTTCCAAGGCAGGGTCTCTTAAGAGTCGGAATCAATTTGATGGCAACAGGTTGGTTGTTTGGTTGGTTGGAATCTTTATGGAAGCTGACTGCAACATCTTTCTCTCAGGGAGCAGCTGGTGGGTTCAAACCACTGACCTTTCTATTAGCTGCTGAGTGCTTAACCACAAGGAGGAGTGTACTGAAGTAATAAACACTGCACTCCCTAATGTGGTGGCCAGTGAGAGTCATAAGTGCATGCAAGGTCCCTTTCATCACCACTCATTTATCCTGTTTTTTATGCTTTTCCATTCCTAAGAAACATATGAGCTAATATTTACAGTTATTGGCAGTCCTTTGAAATAACTTTAAAATATTAACATTGCAGTTCCCGATAAAGAGAGTTTTACTTGTGAATAAATCTAGCATCTCTCTTCTATGTTTTAATTCTCATGCAAATTCTCTTCTGAAATTGTGTTTTATAAAATAAATTATTCTATTAAACTGCTTTTAAAGGTAAGAGTTTTTTTCTGTAGAAGGCTGTTCTTTTTTATGATTTAAGGCAGTGGCAAGAATTGGCTTAATGACAACTGATACTTTTTAAAGAAATGAAGTAGTAATTATAGGGACATTTCATGTAGTTCACCCACTTACATATCTCGTATTATTGTATTGCTTACTCAGAAGCAATGCAGTTTGCTTACTTATAGCAATTCCTTTTATGGTTGGTTATGTGTAAAAGTTAAAATCAGGCTTATGCCATAATTTTTTCAAATCTGTACTTTTTTATTTTTCTCTTCATCATTGAAAATTTTATATTTAAGTATTGGGTATTCTTATATGGGTAATATGGGTATTTCCTCCAGAGGTGCTTAATCTTCATTATAAAAAATTGTCAGAATTTTTCTAGATACAATGGTGACTGTGTTTGCTTCCCTGCAATTCTTTTTGTTTTTATGCATTAATTTATTCAATGGATAGATACTGCTCCAGACACTTGAGTAAACAGCAAACAAGACAGGGCAAGGGCTGTCCTCACCAAGCTTACAGACTGCTGGAAAAATAAATAGGATACCAAATTAAACACTGATCAATTTGACAAATATAATGGAAACCTGGGTTTGATTTCCAGCCAGTGCACCTCAAGGGCAGCCACCACGCATCTGTCAGGGGAGGCTTGTGTGTTGCTATGAGGCTGAACAGGTTTCTGTGAAGCTTCCAGACCAAGATGGACTAGGAGAAAAGCTTGGCGTTCTACTTCTGAAATCAGCCAGTGAAAACCCTATGGATCACAGTAATCTGATCTCATGCAATTCTTTTCTTGTATCTGCCCCTTTCCTTTCAGAGAAAGCAGTGTACACCTTTGGGCTGGGACAGTTTGGCCAGTTGGGTCTTGGCACTTTTATTTTTGAAGCATCAGAACCGACTGTCCTTGAGTATGTTAAGGACCAGAAAATACGTCATGTTTCCTGTGGAGAAAATCACACAGCTTTGATAACAGGTATGGAATAGAGTTTCTCTTATATTTTGTAGTAGAACTGGGCTTATTTTATTACAAAATAAATAATATATGGAATGAATGTATAAAACTTAAGCATAGGAATTAATAGTTGAGAAAGATGAAGTTCCTTATTTAATATTCAAACATATAAAGTTGTAAAGTTATTTTTATTATTTTAATTCCGTTTAAAATAAATGTAAATGATCCAAAGATTTAGAACCTCAAAATATGTCAGTGCCGTTGGAAAGTTAAACTCTTTTTGAAATTTGTATCAATTTGAAGACTCTTAACTATGCTCAGGCCAGAGGGGAAAATCCCAAGAGAAAGAATTTGTTTTAAAACATTCTCCCCGTTCAATCTGACAGAGAGCTACATTCAAGCAGAGTAAATTCATATGATGCTTTTGCCACCAGGAGGCGTTTTCAGGAGTGACTCCCTCCTGTTGCCGCAGTGCTAGAGAAAAGGGTACCTCAGAGAGCACTGAGTAAATATACACCTGGGTTCTCCAGATCTTCAGCCCTGTACTTTCTCATTTATCCAGGGAGATCCTACTTTTGGCCAACTTTTCAATCACAGAAATTTGGTGCTGTTAATGTAGGGCTCAATAAAGGTTCTCCCCTAACATGACTCAGTCACTTACCTGTAGGTAATTGATATACTCCACAATTTTAATTGTTTAGAACAAAAGGATCTGTAATTTCACTCTTTCTATCTCAGATTTCAACCTAAAAGAGAAGTAAACCATTTAAAAGTCAAAAATCACTCTAGTATTTTGAAATAATCCAGACACTAGTATTTCTACTTTTTCTCCTTTCTAAAAAAGCTACAGCTATGTTGGAGCTCACATAAGGATATCTGGTTAGGGAAACTAGTCTTTGACAAATATGAGGTACTACCAAACACTGTTCCTTCTTCCCCCAAAGAACCTTTCAGAGAAGGCTGCCTTGCCTATTATCAAGTATTGATGCCCTTGCTAATGTAGCATGAAATAAAATTGTATAGAACATAAAGAGGTATTACTCATTCATAGTCCTATAAGAGCTGTTGATCTGTACTCCTCACTGTGGGGTTATAATCTCAATCTCTGGGTCTTTAACTGCCATTTTTCATCAACTTTAAATCTCCATTGATGGTAAATATACACTATTTTAACATAATCATCTAATATACAATTAGATTATTTAAATTTCCATTTACTTTTTCTTCTGATGAAAGAAGTTATAGCACAAATAATTGAACATTACCTATGTTTGCCTTTTTGCTCATGAGCCCTCCCCAGGGGGCAGGTGCTATGGATTTGTTTCTCCAGGACTATGATAGTTGCATAGTGAGTTACCTCTAAGCTCTTGCCGGATCCTTCTTATAGCCCGTGGCTCATATTTTAAAAAGCTCTTTAAGGATAGAGGTGTGGTCAAGGGGCTTGGATCAGAGTTAATTTTTTCTGGCTAAAACCAATCAAATTAAAAAAGCAAACCTTGAGCATTTGGATAAAGAAATCAGGATCAAAGGAAGGAGGAGGAAGGATAAGGAAGGAAACAGGGAATATATATAGAGAGGGAATGAACAGCTAATTGTAAGCATTATACAGAAGAGTCAAAATACTGGTTATATATTTATAGAAAATCGATTTATTTTTATATATTAATTTTGAAACTTGCCACCTTACTGAATTATATCATTATTTCTAATCATTTTTCAGTCACTTCTCTTGGATTTTCTTAGTATGCAATCACTTTGCCACTTAAACTAGAAGTCCTCTGATGCGATGTTATTTCCTGGCTTAAAATCATTCATTTAGCTTCTTATTGCCCTTAAAAGGGAGTTAAAAATTCTTCATATGAACTATTAGGATCCTTTGTGGTGTGATTCCTTCTTACCTCTCCAGCCTCATCTCATACCACTCTTCCCTTTGTTCTTGTGCTCCAGGCACATTGGTTGCCTTTCAGCTTCTTGGCTGAGCCATATTTTTCTTGATTCAGGGCCTTTGTGTGTGCCCTTGACTCTGGAAGATTCCTTGCTCCCTTCTTGCAGCTAAGCCCTACTCATCCTTTAGGTCTGTTTGAAAGCTTTCTCAATCTGCAGATTAGAGGGAGATTCCCCCTCCTCTGCACCCACATTGGCACCCTTTACTTCTGCTTCCATGGCACTTACCACGCTGGAAGATGGAGTGTGTGAAGGAGGGGCTAGAGAAGAAGAGCAAAGGTTCAGAATAGTTGCTAGGCAGTAGGCAAAGGGCTAACTGGAGAGAAGTGACAAGGACCCAGGTATTATAAAGGGAATAGTCAAGATGCTGGTTTATGGCCTTTTCTTCAGTAACGTTCCACAACCCAGGAGCAGAATTAGAAAAGAGACAGTTGGATTGATTTAAGCCAGTGTCTCTCCACTGATGGTAATTTTGCCTTCCAGGGACACATGGCAATGTTCAGAGGCATTTTATATTGTCGTGACCGGGAGATGGGGTGGCAGGCGTTCTGGCATCTAGTGGGTATATGACAAGGATGTTTCTAAACATCCTGCAATGCACAGGACACCCCCCCACCACTACAACCAAGAATTATTTGGCCCTAAATGTCAATATTGCCAAGGGTGAAAAACCCCCATCTAAGCAATGACCAGAGGGAAAAAGAAAACAGCTTCTGTTGGGATATAAAGGGTCAGAACACAAAACCTTCACATGATGCCTGGTATGACTGGGCTTCCGCTTTACAAACCACTGAGGGTTTAGTGACTTATTCTCATAGTATCTATCATCTAAAGTTACATGCAGGACCATAGAGACCACAGAGAGTGTTGAAACAATGATCAGAATAAATTCAGTGCATAATTTAGGGGAAAATTGCAATTGCCGTTAAGCTAGTGTATTTTAAATCTTTGTTTAAAATTGATCTATACAAGTAATACCTTTATAATTCTCTTTTTTTCTCATTTTAGATGTAGGGCATATGTATACTTTTGGAGATGGTCGACATGGAAAATTAGGACTTGGACTGGAGAATTTTACCAACCAGTTCATTCCCACTTTGTGCTCTAATTTTCTGAAGTTTATAATTCATTTGGTAAGGGCATCACATTTCCCTGTTTACGTTTTCATATTCCTGTATTTGAGTCTTTCGGTATTTCATAGAAAATAAGTACTTTGTGTTTGTTGAAAGAATATCATAAATATATTGAATACCTGTATTAGTTTTCTAAAAGTCAAATGTCAGATATTATGCCACTCTGAAAGTCTGTCCCTAACCTGATTTTCCTCCTTCAGCGTCTTCCATTTTGCCCTAATATTGCCTCTTCTGCTTTGTTCTCATATGTCTCTTGAAAGCCAGGACTGTGCGATACCTATAATCTTTGTATCTCATGTGGCACCCAGAAAGTGCCTTGCTCATAGTAGTCTTCAGTAAATATTTGTTGAATTAAATATTATTGAGACTCTCAAATCCTGCACAGGAGAAAATTGGATAATAAACTAAGCGTTTTGAAAGTATATTTTATTGAGTAAATGCTGTTCAGATAAGACTTTTCTTTCAGCACCACATTACCACAAGATATCATCTTTCTGTTGTTTCTATTACTTTTGCCAATTACGAACTATAGACTTTTGAACATTCTGTTTAGTTGGTGATAATAATGATCTCCTGTTGTCCAAAGACTCCATGTCTCATGCTATGGAACCCATCCATTCCCTTCATTAATTTGACAATCATTTAACGAATGCCTGCTATGTGCAAGATATTCTACTAAGTATTAGGAATATGAGGTATACAGGAATGAACAAAATGGCCAAGTCCTGCATTTATTGAGCTTACAGTCTTATGGGGAAGATAATTTTTAAAAGTGATGTACAAAAATATATATCAATTTTAAATTTGAAAATAATTATGAAGGAAAGGCATAGGACATGCTATTCTTACAACACCATGTAGAACAATATAAAGTTACTAAAAAGCTGTGTATTGCAATATTGTACTATAGGCTTTTCTTAGCATTTTATTGAAAATCATACATTTCTAAAAATTCTTTGAATGTTGATTTTATCTGTCTTTGTCCAGTAATTGTACATGTTTGCATTTTGCACTAAGACTTTTAAGCATTAAACTTAGAAAATTTTTATGTGAAAAAAAGGGCTTGGAGACATAATTAACCCAAGAGTCTTATTTATTCTTGGGTCACTTTTCCTCAGCAGAACGTCCCCAAGTATTTTTTCAAGTTTTTAACGTTGCTGCCAGTTGCATATATTTTTCTGAAACAATTATAATATAAAGAGAAATGTAATGTGCAAAGTAGTTTTTTTCTCTATACTTTATTAAATTGAAAGTAGAATAGCGGATTAAACCTGTTCTAATTTTTCTAAACGCAGTGTTTAATGAAGATATACTGTAATTTATTTACATATATACATATGTATATATACATATATATATACAGTGAAACCTGTGAGAGCCTTAACTCCATGGGGCTGCTTGTTTTTCCAGGTCTCTCAAGCTTTCTGCCTTTGACAGGGTGCAGTCTTACTACTTTTCTGTTGCTTATTTTAGTTGAAAATATTTGAGTTTTCCTTCTTTGACGTGTTTCCACCTTAGACAGGTTCCAGCTTTCGCAGGTGTGTGTGTGTGTGTATGGAGAGAGAGAGTGTGTGTGTGTATGGAGAGAGAGTGTGTGTGTGTGTCTAGGAAGTCTACCATGAAGTAATCATTTAACAGTTTGTTTTATAGCTGAAAGCTGTCAAAAACTCATTTGTGTTTGAAGCAAATGTCGATTAATTTTTCTGTGGATTAATGCTGCAGGTTGCTTGTGGCGGATGTCACATGCTAGTTTTTGCCATTCCACGACGTGATGCGGTAGAAGACATTTGCATTGAGGAAATAGATGATTCTTGCTTATCTCCAGTGGCTTCTCTGCCTGTGGGTGATTCGGCCTCAGGAAGTATACTACAAGGAACTTTATCAGCCCGTGTTAGGCGAAGAGAGAGGGTACCATTGTGGCCTATTCTATCTAATAGTATTATCTAGTATTGCAAAGAAAACTGGAATAAAAAAATGCATTTTTCTTTTTGAATGAAAGAAGGGTCTTCTCAGATAAATTCACTGAATAAAATGACTGGAGTTGAGGACTCAGACTTATAAAGTGAATTCAGAGTTAACCTGTTAAACATACAAATCAGAAAATTCAAATTATGAATAACCTTTGTTTATAAACTCGGGGTACTATACAGAGCATCATTCCGTATGCCTGTCTTATCACTTAATATTGAATGCTGATTTTTTTCTTAACTATGTGTAAATTGATTTTAACTTGCCACATGCTTTTATGTTTTAGTTATATCTCTTGGGCAGTGAAAGGTTATACACTGTAAACAATGAAATGTGGAAAACAAAGAAATAAGGGCTTCAGTTTGAGAAAGGGGATATTCTCTCTCAATTAAATTTAGAAATTCTCTGCTCTAAAATTATTTCGATTACATACATTTTTCAAAATAAGAAAACGCAAATAATTTTTAAAGGAGATATTCCATTTTAAAAATTACGTTCTAAAATTTATTCCTTTTGAAGTAAAAAAGGTTAAGTTTGGCTTTTTATTACAAAAAGTATATATGGAAAGACTGAGAAATACTCCGCCAGCGTTTTATTGTCGCTGTTGTTATACTTCATGAATAATTTTTGTTTCTTAAGGAAGGCAGAGAAAACACACACACTTTGTCCCATCATGTGAAAGACAGGCTTCCAATTGACAATTTAAACCACCAAGATACAGAAACAACAAAACAAAACATTTTTGAGCCCTTGGGGATTATTAAAAGTGAATGTTGCAAAATGTTGGCAGATTTTGCAGTCTTTCTCTTAAATATTTTTGGCAACTGCAAGGTAGTTTACGTCAATATTAAATACAGGCAGTCCTTGAGTTATCAACATCAGATTTAGGGACAACTTGTACTTGGCCTTTAATGTTATGTAAATTTGCCCTCACTTTGAAACGATTGAACCAACCCGTAACCAAAAAAAAAACCCCAACCCGTTGCCATATCGAATCAATTCCGACTCATAGCAACCCTATAGGACAGAATAGGACTGTCCCATTGGGTTTCCAAGCAGCAGCTGGTGGATTTGAACTGCTGACCTGTTGGTTAGTAGCCTGAGCTCTTAGCCACTATGCCACCACAGCTCCCTACCCACAATAAATTCTTCATCACAATTACCTTCACTTGCTGCGTATGCAGCTTTTAAATCATTGCAAAGGCTTACAGCCTTTTCTTGCACTAAAACCCAAAAAAACCAAACCCATTGCCGTCGAGTCAATTCTGACTCAAAGCTACGGCTGCTAACCAAAAAGGTCGACAGTTTGAATCCACCAGGCGCTTCTTGGAAACTGTATGGGGCATTTCTACTCTATCCTGTAGGGTTGCTATGAGTCAGAATCTACTTGACGGCAATGGGTTTTTTGCACTAAAGTAAGGCTAAAAAGAACTGTATGCACTGGTTCCTGTTTACCTACATATTCTTAAAGACACACTCAGGAACTGATCTCGTTTGTAACTCGGGGACTGCCTGTATATAAAATCATTTAACACTTTCTTTAACTGTTTACTTTAAAGGGAAAATCCCCAGAGTCTATCCAAATGACACGTGCACTACCTCCAACAGAAGGGACTCTGGCATCAGCTGATTCTTTTTCTGCCAGTTCAGTCCCTTTCCGGTTGTCTACAAGTAACCTGCCAGAGAGAACCGTATCTGGAAAGGATAGCCCCATGGAGCCAATGGAACCAGGTAACATTTAGTATTCTGCCAGCTCTCAGCAAAAATGTGCATTTTATTCCTGTTGTTGTTATGCTTATCTTAAGATGTTTTATCTAACTAATTAAATTGACACCTCTTATTTGAACCCAAATCCAGTATTAGCCTAACAAGTCAAAAGCATTGTCTTTGACCCTAAAGGTACAACAGCAACAATCATAATACCTTGCGTATCTTTACAGAGCAGTGTATGATGTACATACATAGTGACTTGCCCAAGATCACTCAGCTTACAAACCATGTGAACAGGATTTGAATGCAGGTCATCTGGCCCTATGTGGGGTTCTATAGTTAGGCAGTATAGCATAATGGTTAAGAGCATAAGGTATGGAGTTTAAGTCATCTGTGGTCAGATACCTGCTCTGACATTTATTAGCTATGTGACCGGCTTTGGGAAAGGTAACTTAATCTTGCTCATCCTCAGTTTCTTTAAGATAGTTTTAATAGTACCTACTTCAGAGAGAGAGTGTGAGGATTAAATGATATCATACATATAAAATACTTAGCATTGAGCCTAGCACCTCTAGAAACCGCTTAACAAATATATTTATAATTACTGTTAACATCTCTACCTCACTGCCTACGTTACACAGATTTCATGTTTTAAATTGTAACCCCAGCTCTTTCAATATTATACACCCATTCTAAATAATTTTGTTTAGGGACATTTGTGTTATCTTAGGAGTGACACATAAAAGTAATAGTTTTTGAGCAAGCCAGTATGAAATGACATCATTATTGATTAAATATCAGGCAGGCAGTATATACCAAGAGTAGGCTGGACTCTATAATAAGACTCTAATAAGTTTATTAAGAAGCAGACCCTGCAGCACCTGGCACAGTGCCTTGTTGATGGATATCTTTGCCTGGTGCCATCACTCTAAGTCAAATACAGCTGATTCTACTTTTGAGCATCCGTTATGTTCCAAACACTGTGCCAAGCCTTAGGATCAACGGTGACCAAAATCGTTACGATCCCTGCTCTAATGGAGCTTATAGTATCAGTTGGGGAGACCAAAAAACAAACAAGCAAGCAAACAGAAAACAATTTAAAGTTGTAATAAAGGCTGTGAAGGAAAAAAAGAAGGTGCTAGATAATTTATAATGGAGGGAAGGGAGTCAGGGAAGGTTTTGCTGAGAAGGTGGCATTTAAGCTAAAACATAAGGTTAACAAAGACATAGCCATACAAAGAGGATATATGCATTCCAGGCAAAGAAAATAATAGAGGCAAAGGTTTGGAGACAGTTTATAAGAAAAGGAAAGACCAGTGGAGTTTAGAGGGTGAGGGAAACAGCAGGACCAGATAATGTCGGAGAAAGAGACAGGGAAAGATGATTTGCGGTCTTAATTAGCCATGAGAAACCTGTTTGGTTTGAATGTTTTCTTCAAGTACAGTAGAAAGCCATTGAAGGATTTTAAACAGGGGAGTGATGTATTCTTATATAATGTCCATTTTAAGATGATCACTTCTGTCTCTATGTGGATTGTAGGGAGGCCAGGATAGATATAAGAAGAATACTTCGTAGCCTTTTACAAGAGATGATGGATGGCGTCTTAACCATAGCATTTATAGTAGAGATGGAAAGAAGGAGGTAGATTTGAGATACATTTTAGACATAGAACCAACTGGACTTGCTAAACGTGCTCATGGATTGCACATGGGTATGAAGTAAAGGCAAAAATCAGGGGTGATTTCTAGGCAAGAGGATGGTTGACAAGTTTAAGGAAGAAAATTAAGAATCCAGCTTGAGATAGCTGTGGGACATCCAAGGGGAAATATCAGGCAGGCAGTTGGAAATGCAAGCCTAAACTTCAGAAGAGAGGTCTGGCTAAAGATATAAATTTAATATTTAAAATCCATGGAAGTTGCTGAAATCACCTACTCGAGAGTAGAGTCAGAAGATGGCCCAGGAAATAGCCCTGAGAATGTCTAACATTTAGAGGGTGGAGGAGGAAGGGCCAGCAAAGAAGCCTTGTCAGCCTAGTCAGCCAGTAAGGTAAACCAAACCCACTGCCATCAAGTTGATTCCGACTATAGGACGGAGTTTAACTGCCTCATCAGGTTTCCAAAGCCGTAAATCTTTAGGGAAGCAGACTACCACATCTTACCTCCCACGGAGTGCCTAGTACGCTCGAACCACCGACCTTTTGGTTAGCAGCCAAGCACTTTAATCACTGTGCCACCAGGGCTCTGCCAGTAAGGTAGGAGGAGGGAAATTAGGAGAGAGTAGTATCATAAATGCAGAGTAAGGCCCAAAGGTCAAGGAAGAAGAGCTCAAAGAAGTGTCCAGTGAATTTGGCATCATGGAGATTAGTGGTAGCTTGATAAGAACAATTTCAGGAGAAGGTCAGGACAGAAGCCAGAGTGTTAGGAGTTGAGGCATGAATGGGAAAGAAGAATCTAAGAGGAGATAAGGTGCGTAGATAATTCTTTTGTATATTTTGGTCATGAAGGGGAGCAGAGAAATGGGCTGGCAGCTAGAGGGAGATGTGGGATCAATGAGAAATATAGAACATTTTTGTGTGCTGATGGAGGTGATCCAGTAGACCAGGAAAGATTGGTACAACATGAGAGAGAGGGTATAACCAAAGGTGCAAAGTTCTTGAGAAGATAGAAGGGGCTGACACGCAGATCACAGCTGTGGTAAGAAGAAAGACACACCATACATTTTAACAGGAAAATGAGAACTTGGGTGCAAATACAGGTAAATGTGTTAAGTTTGTTGGTGAGACGATAAAGTGGATCAGATCTAATGAGGTCTGTTTTCTTAGTCAAGTATGAAGCAAGGCCATCAATTTAAATAATCTATTTTCCAAACCTCCATTCTCTGCCCTTTTCAGGCTATCCTGCATACCACTTTCTGTGTTAATCTTTCTCAGGTACAGTTGAGTTGCCATCTGCTCCAGTATATTCAGAGGATCCCTGATACTTATGACTCCCAACTGCTTTTCTAGCTTTATTTCTCAGTAGTGTTTTCCCTGTAACCTTCATTTAGATCAGGAGTCTGCAAACTATGGCCCTTGGGCCAAATTTAGCCAGACGCTTGTTTTCATAACTAAAGTTTTATTGGAACCCAGCACACTCTTTTCTTTTATGTATTGTCTATGGTTGCTTTTAAGGAGCCCTGGTGGCACAGTAGTTAAGTGCTCTGCTGCTAACCAAAAGGTCGGCGGTTTGAACCCACCAGCTGCTCTGCCAGAGAAAGATGTGGCAGTCTGCTTCCATAAAGATTTCCACCTTGGAAACCCTATGGGGCAGTTCAACTCTGTCCTGTAGGGTTGCTAGTAGTCAGAATTGACTCCACAGCAACGAGTTTTGGTTTGGGTTATGGCTGTTTTACATTACAACAGCAGAGTTGAGTAGTTAGGACAGAGACCTTATGGCCCACAAAGCCTAAAATGTTTACTATATGGCACTTTACAGAAGAAATTTGCCAACTCTTGATTTTGATTCACAGCCTGATTTAGTGGAAAGAACATGGGCTGTGGAGTCAGACAGACCTGACTTTGACACTTGGTGCCACTAGGGCCAGTAAGCTTTAGTTTTCTTATTTATAAAATGGGGATATAATACTTAACCTCTTTTGTTGTCATGGGGTTAACCAACATATATAAAAGCATATATTCTGGCACATGGTAGATGCCTTCAATACAGGCTTCTTTCATCTGTGTCCTTTTTTTACTCCTTTGCTCAGATTACTGTTTTGCCGCTTCAGTTAGGAATAGGTTTCTTTCCATTCTCTTCTGTGTCCACCTCCGTCTCTGCCTCTCAGATTTCTTTTCATCCTTCCACACACCTCCTTGGTGAAACCTTTCCTGATTCTCAACATTTGGATGTGATTTCTCATCCCCCTACATATATTTTATATTTTCTTCTAGACTATAAGTTCCTTAATAGTTATCCATTACTTAAGTTGATATCCCCTACATAGTACGTCACATGGAGTAAACACAAACTGATTATTTGCTTATTTGAATTGAATGGATTTAAAAAGGAGGGATCAGTGTGGACTGGTATTTTTCGAGAATGCTTCATTAAGATGATCATCTTAAATGTATAGGTGATCAGTGAGGGCATAGTGAGTAATTAAGAAAAATGTAAGATAAAATAGACTTTATAATTTCTGGTTATCTGCTTTATGATATAATAACCTTGCAGTTTACCATAAAAGTGTCTAGGTGCTTGTACTAGATATCTGTTGCTACATAACAAATTACCCTAACACTTAGTAGGTTAAAACAAGAAACATTATCTCACACGGTTTTCAGGAGCAACTTAGTTGAGTTGTTCTGGTTCAGGGTCTTTCATGAGGTTGCAGTCACACTGTCATATGGGCTGCAGTTATCTGAAGACTTGACTGGGCCTGAAGGATCTGCTTCCAAGCTCACTCATGTGGCCATTGGTAGGACATGTCACTTCCTCGCTACATGAACTTCTCCACAGGGTTGTTCATGACATGGCTTCCCCCAGAGCGAGTGATCCAAGAAAGGTAGTGGGAGTGAAAGTGAGCAAGAGAGAAGCTACAATGACATGACATTCATTTCTGCTTTATTTTATTGGCCATACAGACCAACCTGGCAAAATGTGGAAGGGGAATTACAGAGGGATATGAATACCAAAAGGATGTGGGTCATTAGGCCCATCTTGGAGGCTGGCTACCACAATGCTCTATTGCTGGGTAGTATTTATTCCAAAGGAAAAGTGTTTGCCTTTTTATGTGAATGAAGTAATTGTTATCTCTAATCTGTGTCAAGGTTGTTTTTTTTTTAAACTGTGGTGAAAATATACACAATAAAACCTTCACTAATTCAACAATTTCCACAATGTACAATTCAATGACATTGATTACAATCTTCATGTTACACAACCATTCTCGCTATCCTTTTCTAAATTATTCTACCACCATGAACATAAACTCAGTCCCCCCTAAGCAAAACTCCCCCTTTTCCCCTTTGTGTCAAAGTTTTTAAGCTTTCAAAAACAGTTTTTGAACCTGTTGTAACTGTGGAAGAATTCGGTTTAATTCCCCTGACATGAGGTTAAAGGCCCTTTGCTAAAATTGTACCTGCACTTTAAATTACATAATAATTGCTGTATTCTGTTCAGTTGCTTTTCACTTTTCCATTTAAACCTAGTTTTTATTTTATATTTTCAATCGTTCAGATTATTTTCAAGATAAAATGACCAAAGAAAAAGAGACAGACAGTTCTTCAGTAGCGAACTCAGAAAACCTTGGAGAAACTACTGATATCTTAAATATGGTAATGATTTCCAATCTGGCTACCTAAATATAAGCTTGAAGTTTAGTTCATGGTGTGTTTGTGTATGTGTATGTGTACTTATGCTTTTCTAGGCATAAAAATGCTTTTTTTTGTTTTTCTTTCATTTTGTTTCTTTTTTAACTAACTTTATTGAGGTGTAATTTACATAGAATAAAATTAATTTCACTCCTCTTATCATTAATATGGCAATTGAGAGTTGATTATATTATCATATGAGCTATTTTGCATCAATTTTATATATATATTTAGAATGTATAAATATTTAATCATAGATATTCTTTAGTGCATTCTTTGTTCTCTTTAGTACATTTTTTTTGTTGTTTATTTCAGACACATGTGATGAGCCTGAATTCCAATGACAAGTCATTAAAATTATCACCAGTTCAAAAACAAAAGGTATAATATGGGGAGCTATTGTCATTATGGTGGGTAAGAACAGTTGAAATTCTTTCTTTTTTTCTTGGAAGGTTTCTGGAAAGAACATAAGAAAGGTAAGCATTCAGTTACTTTAGAATTTAAAAGACAGAGAAATACAATGTGGATAACCTCCATTTTGGCTTGTTCTGTTGGTATGTATTCTCTGTAATGCAACAAGAATGATAGAATTTCATTGCTGATATTTGTTCTTTAAGGTCATTAGCTTAAGTCATAATAGCCATACTTTCTTGCCTTCAAAGCAGTTGATTGCCATTCTTAAGGATAGGAAGAGTACTGGTTATCAGAGTGACTCTGATTTTGGTTGAATATGACTTTGGGAGAGTTACTATGTTGACTTTACTGAATGATACTAATATTTTTTCTATGTCTAAAATATTGTGATTTTAGTGAAAATATTTGATATTTGCCTTTCCAATGTTTAGATTGGGCATTAATTTATCAAGAAATTGATAACACAAAAACAAGATTAAAATAAACATTTGGAAACTAGTCTGAGACTGTTCATGGGTGAGAAACAGATTTAATGAATAACAAATGAATAGCAAGAGGAAAGAATAGTCTGTAGTTTTTACAACCCTGGAGAGAGAAATGCCTGCCCTGGAATCGTTTGCCTTTCTTGGCTTTAGGAACCAGTGGAATGAAACGTTGAGGGGCTTGGGGATTAGGAAAATAAATTGGAGAAATGCAAATTGAGGGAAGAAGGCTATAGAAAACATTTCATTTATATTTCTAGTGCCTTTGCCACATTGTTAAGTTAAAAGTCCTTAAATTCAAAGCCAAAGAAACACAAAATCTTGCTAAAGTATAAAAATTTAGAGCAAATCCTTTCATCTTATTTATATTACTGAGAGGCATGGTGAATAACAGCATCCCTTGGAATGTGAGAGAGCTGATCTCTTAACACAGCTTTGTGAGTGGTCAGTGAATATTGACTGACTGGGTGTACTAACTTATTGACTGACTATGCGTCCAACCAGACATTTTTCGGTGTCTGCCCTTCCTCTTCTTTTAGACTGGTGCTCTGCCTCTTCCGTGCTGCTTTATTGTGCTAGAGAAAGAAAGGCATGAACATTTAGAAATAAAGTATGGTACTTGGGCCTGTCTCTCTGAAGGCTCTTGAAAGAATTGTGACTTTTTGAAGAACAGGACCTAAAACAAACAAAAATATTTTCCAAAGGAAAGCACTTCTTTTTAAACGGATATGTAGCATTTTTTACTTCACACAGTACTTTTTAAGTAGAGGCCCTACCAGGCCTACTTTAGTGAATAACAAAAGATTATACTATAAAGATACACACACACACACACACACACACACACACACACACACACACACACACACACTCTACCTTGTTACTTTTTTAACTTGTCCTGTTTTAATAATTTCTTTAGCAAAAAATGAACGTCTTCCTAAGCCTATCACTCAACACAATTTATAAAATTTGATTAAATGATGTTTTACTATCCAGAGACCCAAATTCATTGAATATTTCAATCTGTTAGCTTGTAAAATTTATGTTGACAATTTGATTTTGTCCAACAAGAAATTAATGTCATATTTTAATGTATTATCCAAATCCTCATGCCTAATTTCAAAGGTTTCTTTAAACTAAAAATCTTACATTTTATGTTAATTATTTTTCCTCTTAGTGTTTTTTTCATATATGCAAATTATTCTAATGAAAGAATATAGATAAAAAGGAAGAGGGTCAAAATTTGAAAACCCATATCAGATTTTGTTTTAAAAATATATATATTCATTATTATTTAATATATAGAAAAAAGAGATTTCATTTAGAGTTTTCAGTTTTTCTAGAAATAAGCTATTCTTATTTCAAGTTCTTAAATTTTCACATTTTAAAACTTTCTTTAATTTTGTGAATTTCATGGAATCAAAAGACAAAAATTTGAAAATGAAAAATCAGGGAAGATGGAAAAAACTAAACTGAATGCAAGAAAAGTGTAAATTTCTTAGACAATATTTTAGAAAGTCAGTCTGGAAATGTATTATATTTAAAGATTGTTCCTGATTAAGAAAAGGGGCAGAGAATAAATACTGACAGTACTCTGATTAATGGCAAAATTAACGCAGGTAGTAAGAATTTGATATATATTAATAAATCAAAATTGAATGTACTACAGGCTTCCAGTGGCATAAATTGTCCCCAAAGAAAACAAAACTGAACAAACTGGTAAAACTGGATGTTTTAATTCTTCCAGTGAAACCTATAAACATGTAAAATCTTGGCAGTATTTTAAAGTAGATAAGTTATCTTTGTCAGCTAATAGTAGTATGACGATTGCTTCAAAAAATTTACAGAAACAAGAAACAATTGAGAAACTGGAGAAACATGCAGCTCATACTGGAAATGATAGTAATGAATATGAATCTGAAGAGATTTCCAAAAAAATGAAAGAAGGGAAAACATATAAACAACTTTTGGCACAAGGGATATTCATGATGCAAACAACAGTGACTTCGGAAACATTTTCAGATGAGGACCCAGGTAATGGCTCAGGCCAGTCTGGGCGTCAGGCCAACATTGATAAAGAGGGTTTATTAAAAAAGATATTTAAATATGAAAACAAACTTGGTGCTTGTCAGCTTGATGGTAGGGAAATAGAAAAGGAAAATGATGGAGAACAGAGTCAGAATGATTCAGAAGAAGAAATAGTCTCTGAGAAGGAAGCTGAGCTGGCAGAAATGACAGGTCTGGAGGATATAAGAAAAATTGAACAGAGTATAAATAATACTCATACATTTTTGGAGGTCTTAGCAAATACAGACATGAATATTGAGGATGAAGAAAATAAAGATTTGGTTAAGGAACGTAAAAGACACAAGCAAGATGTCCTCTTTGACAGTGAAAGAGAATCTACTGAGAAGCAAGACAGTTACATGGACGGTGAAATTGAAAGTCAGCAGGGTATAGCTGATGGATTCAAGCTGTCTAAGTCCATAGAATTTAGTAGTGGAGAGGAAGAGGATTGTGAACTGGAGAATCCCCTACACTTGTCGTATAGCAGAAAATTTACTGAACAAGGAAATAAGGAAGAGACTGAACATAAAATGTCAAAATTCATGGCAAAATTTAATTTTAAATGTGACCACTTGTCAGAGATCCCAGAGGAGCAAGAAGGAGCAGAGGATTCAGAAGGAAGTGCAGTAGAGGAGGAGGAGGAGATAGAGGAAAATGAGGAGGTACTTGGAGAAAGAGATGAGGAAGAAGCAGATGATCTTACAGACAGAACAGAGGTGAGTGAAGGCAAGAAAAAGTCAGGGGAAGAGGTGGAAAATATGCCTGAATGTGGAGGTGATGGAGTCTGTAAGGGGAGTAATTCAAGAGCAGAACAAAGGCTGAGTGAGGAAGGGGAGGAGGAGAAGAAAGACAAGGGAGTAGTAGTTAGAGAAATGAAGAGTTTGGGTAAAGGAGAAAAGGACCGAGAAAAGAAGGAGGAATGGGAGAAAAAGGATGAGGAAGAATGGGAAAAAAAGGAGAGGGAAGAAGGCCATCAGGAGGAAAGAAAGAAACAGATAGAGGAAGGAGAAGGGGAGGAACAAGGGGAGAAGGATAGAGAGGAGGAAGGGGAGGAGGAGCAAAAAGAAAGGGAAGAACAGGAGGGAGAAGAGGAAGAGCAAGGAGAAGGGGAGGAGGAAGGGGAAGAAGAGCAAGGAGAAGGGGA